AACAGTAAAAAAATTTTTCAAGAAAATTTATATACTGGAACTTTGTTAATAGGAAACATTTAATGATGTTTGACTAAAATATTTTCCATTTCCTTCTATTCATACATTCTCACTTGCTGCTATTACATTTTTATTTCCTTTAATGGCAAGATTTATAAAATTTGATTACAAAATTTATATGTAAATAAGATTAATTATTTTACAGTATTATTGTGCCGATAATATTAACAATAATATAGTACAATGTAGTATATCAGAAAGATGTACAAAAAGGAGATTTAAACTATATCTACTATTATAATGAACACAGAGACAAAACAATTACCATGTATGGAATTCGTACACGAATCCGGAAATAGAAACGATAAAAATACTTTAAATGATTCCTATGACTTAAAATGTATTCGGTAAATCAGATAAACCACTTTTAATACAAATCCAAAACAACATGGATAATCGAAATATATCTCTTACTAACACGACATTGCATCAAAAGCATGAACATTCCTTCCCCCTCCTACATATCAGGCTTCTTACTACTAGTGTCTCCATCACTCGGTAATATTTGTAGTTAACTATAAAAAAAAACCACGTGATGCTTGAATTTTACAGTCTGTTATAACCAATGATACGTTTTTAATATTGCAAGTCAATAATATTATAAACTATTACATACCTACGCCTATTTCTCGCATTTCATTATGCACGTACACTTACACATGTGTACTTGACGATATATATAAATAATATGTACTTCTTCCTTTATTTAGTTTTTATCTATTTACTTATTTATGTATGCATATGTGTATACGTTTCTCTGAAAATAAAATGTATTCGACAGGAGTGATGGTCCACTTCTTCTTCTTCCATTAAAAGAGGTTAACTTTTATAAAATATTTAAATGTTTAAAATAAATATCAAATAAATATGTACTTTTATTTCATGCAATTTCATGCAAATTCTATTATAATTTTTATCATATATGCAATTCTTTTTAGTCATATTAAAGTGATATACGATGTTTGTTGTTAATTTGTCAACTGCCTTCTTAAAGCACATTCAAACGTTTCTGATATATTTTGTAATTGCCAAATATATACGTGACGATAAAAATATAAACCAATAATATTTTGTAATCGCTTAATATTAAGTCGCACCTTATTTTCAAATAAATACACTCAAGAAACAATAAATCACAATGTAAAACGTTTCTTTATTGTATGTTAGGTTACGCTCCGCAATAGGTTATACAAATATACAAGATCATGTGCTTCCCTCTATGAAAGCTTTAATAGGTTGCGAGTAAATCTAACGCTATATATATATATATATATATACATATGTAAGTATAGTGTAACGATTGACGATTAATTTTTTGAATTTATGCTAGAACAATTGTATAGAATAGATACATTTTTTTAAATCTAATGGAGACATTAAGTATTTATTTGTAAATCTAAATGTGAACCTGCGTTTGTTATTTTGACTTATTTGATAAGTTTCTAGTGATGTTTGTATAAGATAACAGCGTTAGGTTATGTAGAACTGTCATAACAAATTACATTTTTTTAAAAATATCAATAATTAATATTTACAGCTTTTGATTGAAACGTATAATGGAACTTTGTGATTTAATATTAATTCCAAATCTTGACAATGTCATATTAATAGATAAAAGTGATGGAAACAGTAAGAACATTGATGGAACACTGTGCATTAGCAGTCACCATCTTCTTTGGTCTTCGCGGCAAGGCGATGGACAAGAGCTTTGGGTATTATTCATAAAGAAAATTGCTTTAATATTGGACATTATTGTGTATGAAATTTTACTCTGTCTTTTAAATATTTTTTAGCTATTATATCGAAATATTGATCTTATAGAGAAAAAATTGAACACTCAAAGTCCAGGTGGTAGTATTATATTAAAATGTAAAGATTTTCGTATTCTTCAATTAGATATTAATTCAACAGATGATTTAACAAATGTTGTATTATCTATAGAAAAATTAACATCTCAAGGTAAAATATGTGTAATTTTACTTTTACGTGTATGAAATATATTATATACATGTCTTATGTTAATTCTTAATTTTTTTGTTTATTACAGAGCAAACTTTACAGTATCCCTTTTTTAATAGACCACATATAACTAGTAATACCATGATACAAGTAGAAGATGGATGGACTGCATTTATCCCTGTATCAGAATGGTCCAGATTATTAACTGCTTTTGCAGATGAATGGCGCATTAGTTATTTAAATAAGGACTATAAAGTTTGCAATTCTTATCCTTCTGCTGTTATTGTGCCACGTCACATAGAGGATAAAATTATAATATCCTCTGCTGGTTTTAGAGATGGTGGAAGATTTCCTGTTTTATGTTACAGACATGAAGGAGGGGTATGTAATGTGGTAAAGCAATAGATCTGATGCATGTATGTATGTGTGTATTTGATACTTAATAAATGGTGAATCAACATTACAGAGTTTTTTATTAAGAAGCAGTCAACCAATGTGTGGCACTAATGGTAAAAGGTGTAAGGAAGATGAAAGATTATTAAATGCAGTGTTAGGTCCAGGTAGACGTGGGTAAATATGTTTGTTAAGAGATATCATTTATTTAGTTTTAAGAATATCAAAAATGCTCTTATAAGTGCATCAATTGTACTAAAGTTATTTGCAATCTAGCCAACTTTGCTAATGAAAGTTCTGTCAATAGTTACATAATAGATACAAGGTCTGTTAGTCAAGCTCAAAGTTCCAGAGCGAAGGGCGGTGGTACTGAAATGGATGCCGCTTATCCGCAGTGGCGGAAAGTACACACAGCTGTTCCGCGACCACATGATTTAGCAGATAGTTTTTTTAAACTGATAGAAGCTTGCAATGACACAACGTGTTCTACTTCTCAGTGGATTTCAAGGCTTGATAATGGTGGATGGTTGTCTGCTGTACAAAGTGCTTTAAATGCTGCTTGTGTAACTGCTCAGTGCCTTCATAAAGAAGTAGCAGCTGTGTTAGTTCATGGTGCGTAATTTATTTATAAAATAATTATGCAAATGAAAATATATTACTTATAGTTCTAATAAATAAGGATATGTGTTATGCTTTAAACAGGAAGTGCTGGTAGAGATTCTACTTTAGTGGTAACCAGCTTAGCACAAGCAATACTAAATCCGGATTGCAGAACTGTACGTGGCATTCAGGCCTTGATCGAACGTGAATGGATACAAGCGGGCCATCAATTTTTTAGCCGCACACGTCATGGGCCATACCATTCATCGAATTCACAAAATTCAACGCATGCCCCGACTTTTCTTCTTTTCCTTGACTGCCTTTATCAACTTCATTATCAATTTCAATTTAGCTTTGAATATACAGTAGAATTGTTAATTGAATTATACAATCACGCGTATTGTTCCAATTATGGAACATTTCTAGGTATTTACTTAATAACATTACTTTCGTTTCAGTATTATCACTAATTTAACATCTTACATATTTCTATATACAATGATTTTAGGTGATTCAGAAGCAGAAAGAGTTAGTCTTCGGTTATCCGAACGGACGTGTAGTTTATGGTCATACATAAATCAACCGGAAACATTAGAGAAATGGTTGAACCCTTTGTATGAACCAAATTCTGGAGTTATTTGGCCTAGTGTGGCGCCTATTAGTATTCAATTGTGGAAAGAACTTTATCTTGCCCACACGAGTGCTGCCCCATGGAAAGGTTTACTATCATGTATAAAGCAAATAAAAGAAAATTATGCGGCCGTACGGAAAGTTGCCGGTCAATTAAAAATTCAAATTAAACGAGCAATAGAGGAAATGCGTTCAAACCCTGATATATCTTATGAAGAGGAAAATCAAGATGAACATACTTGTATAGCACAATTAAGCTTAGAATCTCAAAGCATTTGATGTTGTAGATCGTAAAAATTGAAAAAAGAAAAAAAATTTCAAATCATACAATATGCTATCAATCTGCCTTTATTTATAACATAAAGTTTGCATAAAAAAATTCAGGTTTACCAAAAATTTATCACAATTCCAAGGTTCCCGTTTACATTATGTACTTTTTAAACCTCTAGATTTCTATAATTAACTTTTATAACAATATGATAATGTAAATACAAACATAAATAGTATATACATGTGCATACACACATAATTCATTAATATTATTTATATTACACCATTTAAACAGCTTACTATGTTACGCATATAATTTATATTGTAAATTTAAATGAAATGTTTGATTCATACATTGCACGCAATATTATACAAAGTACGTAACAGAGAAAGTGAAATAACTCACAATTATGTCATAACTAGTCGTTTTATTTCTTTGTTTTTTTTTTTAAACTTCCATTTAATAATTACATATAATGGACTTTAATGAAAGGGAATAAAGAAATGCGAAACCGAAATAGAATATTCTATAGGGGAATTAAAGGAAACAGTAATGTTGTGCATATATTTTCAGAGCACATTACGTCTGTTATCGAATTTTCTGTTTAAAGATAAGAACATTATTCGCGGGAGGCTAAAGACAAGTTTTT